ACTCTGCTGGCATGGCCTTCTGGAAAGAGAATCGCGTTTCGGTGGCTAACTCCGGCCCGGTGCTCAATCTTAAAATCATATTCTTGGAGTCGTTCGATCCACCTGCTATCTGACCCTCTGGATTCTTAAACTGCATCAACCACTTAAGTGCGGCATGGTCGGTTCGGATTAAAAACTTCCTTCCATAGAGGTATTGATAGAAGTGCTCTACTGATTTCACTACTGCCAGAAGTTCTCTTCTCGTGACGCAATAATTTCGCTCAGGTTTGAGAGGACTTACTAAAATATCCAAGAACTCTTTCCTGTCCTCCTTGAATCTGAGACAGCACTCCTCCAATTCCCACATTACTTGCATCTGTATCTAAGATGAACTCTCCTTCTGGCATGGATACCCTAAAATTGGTGCTGTGATTAAATGCTTTTTTAAGGTTTCAAAGGCATTCTGGCAGTCTACATCCCAGCGTATTCTCTTGCTTCCTCTGTAAGTCGCGTTAATGGTTTAGCGATATCTGCAAACTTCTAATAAACCTCCGTAGTAAGTACACAGTCCCAGAAAACTTCTCACTTGATGTTTGTCAGTTGTTTTGGCCATTCCTTAATAGAATCGATTTTTCCCTTATCCACGAGCCACTCCTTCTTTACTGACTATATGACCCAATAATGACTTTACCTTGAAATAGCTGCACTTCTTGGGGGTTTAACATCAATTGGCACTTTAAAGTCGATTAAAAAACGTTTTCCTAAATTCTTCAGATGGTCTTCAAATGTCTCCCCCAAGACGATTATGTCGTCTAGATAAACTAGGCATGTTTTCCAAGATAACCCTCTCAACACATTTTCCATAATCTCTCAAATGTCGCAGGAGCGTTACAAAGTCCAAATGGCATAACGTTGAATTGCCATAATCCAGATCCTGTGGTGAAGGCTGTCTTTTCTTTATCTACCGGGTCCATTTCTACCTGCCAGTATCCAGACTTCAAGTCCAAAGTAGAAAATAATTTACTTCCAGCCAATGTGTCTAATGTGTCATCGATCCGAGGCAGAGATAACTATCTTTCTTGGTAACGTTGTTCACAAAACGGTAATCCACACAGAACCTCGTTGTTCCGTCTTCTTCTTAACCAGACCACCGAGAGACCCATGGGCTCGTAGAAGGTTCTATCACCCCGTCTTTCTTCATTTCCTGAACAATCGTTTCAGCTTCCTCTCTTTTCGCCTTGGTAATCGTCGAGCTGTTTGACGAATTGGCTTAGCATTACCATATCAATTCTATGCTTAACAACGTAGTTCTTCCCGTCTTTCCTCCTTCGGTACGAAAATATCACGATACTGCCGAAGAAATTCCCTTAATTTCCTTTTCCTCAATCTGATTCAGAGACTGTCCAGCAACTGCAACCATTTGATCAAATTTGTCGTTGGAATTATCAGACGTTGTCGTCTGACGGATTATGGATGTCACAGGTACACAAGTTCCTACTTTGTCTCTTTCTTGATGGTCACTGGGTAGTCATTTGACATTGATAAGTCTAACAGGAATTTCTTTAGCCGAAGTCACCAATTCCTTTCCAATTATGATTCCACGGCCAACTTCGTCGTCATGGTTCCAAGGCTCCATCATAACAGTTGACCCTTCGTCCACAATTCCCTGTACCGCGCTACTATGATTGTTTCACTTCTCGCAGGCACGACTGTATCTTCTTTAACAGCTGCTTGCAAGTGTTGTCATCATGTGGATGGAGAAATACCTCCTCGTTACCAACTTTGATTACCTTATTCTTAAAATCCAATTGGAATCCATGCGTATTCATTACGTCCATTCCTAATATAACATCCTCTTCGATGTCAGCAACTATAACAGTATGGACGAACTTTTCTGCTCCAATTCCTAATTGTACCTGGATTTCTCCATGAATGTTAGCATTTTCACCTGTAGCGGTCCGCAGTCGCAAACCTCGTTGGTAACAGTTTCTTACGGCTGTTTTATAACTGTCGGGCGAATAATGCTTCTGGTCGCTCCAGTATCCACCAACAACGTATGCTTTTACCATTTATTTCTCTCCATCTACATATACACTATCTTCACGACATTTCAAAGAAGCTATTAGTATGAGAGGTCTTTGGAAAAGTTCTGGGTCGAAGCTGCCCCCCTAAGGCCGACCCGTCTAGTTTTCCTGATGGTGATTTCTTGATTTGTGTCGTACCGATGCTTACAAACTTCGTACGTTCCTATTTCGCCACAATTCCAGCATCTTAGGTCTTCGTCTTCTTGTATGTCATGCTTTTCATCATATTAACGAGCTGGTGCAGTTTATCTTCATCTTCTTCCTCTTTTACAGTCCTAACTTTACTGTAAACCGCCAGAGGCCTGCGTAGCTGACTCGTATTCGAGGCGGCGTATAAGACATCAACCAGCGTCTTGTGACGAGCAAATCGTAGTGTTCTCTTTGGCATCTCATGATCACGAAGACCATCAATAAACTGTTTGAAACGGCCACTTTTCCATCATGTCTTCGGAGCTGTTGGATAAGCATATCGCACTAATCTGGCGATATCTACTTCATATTCTTGAAGAGCCTCATCTTCTTTGTCTTCGATTTTTGAGCTGCGACTGATATACATGCTCCAAGTGTTCGTGGCCATATCGCAATTTAAACCTCTTCTTCAGTTGTTTCGAAATCCATTCCGTACTCCTCTACGGCTATGGTCTGGAGCACATCTAAGGCAATCTCCTCGAAGAGCGATAAGTCAGGTTTACAGCCTTTTCTTTTCTGCCATCCATTCGCTCTTGCAGCTGATTCGAACTGTTTCATGTAGTTGTGTTCCATGATGATTTTCCGTCGAAAGTTGGGACTTTGACATGAACGGAACTTCCACTTCCTTCAAATTTTCGGCCGTTGTTTCCAACTTACATTTTGTCTCGTCCTTCTTTTATCTCTACGATCAAAAGCTACCGTATTAATTTGGTGGTAGCACTCTCGTGTTAGTTATCATGGTCTCTAACTGTTTGATTTTCTCCTTCAACTTTATCAAATGTTTAGAGACCTCTTCAAATTCTCATTAATCATTTTAGAAGTTATTTCTTCCATCATTTGAGAAACATTTCAAAATTTCTCGTCGAATCTTCTAGACACATTTTCGAGTTTCTCGTCGTTTTGTCTACCTACTTCATTAATTAATTTGAGACGTTTTCATCCAATCTTTTGGAAACGTTCTCGAATTTATCATCATTTTTATTTAGAGGTCTCCTCAATCATTTGCAAGACGTTCTCAAATTTACTAACATTTTTTGTTTCGAAGATTCTTCGATCATTTGTGACGTTTCATCGAATCTTTTGGAAACAGTCCTCGAAATTTTCCATCAATTATTTTCGTTAAAACAGCTACTTCTGCTGACTGAACTGGAATGTCCTCTGGTCTCTCCATTCTTGTTGAGAACATCTTCAGTCGTTCTTGGAGATCTTCTTGGACCCGCTGCAGTCTTCATCGCGTTCTTCTAGTTGCTCACGCAACTGTTTCACTGAAAGTTCTACTAGCAGCATCTTGGTCAGGCACACACGTACTTTTTTAAATGTTCTTTCGTATCAACAACATCACTACTGAACTACGCGGATGTTCCCGACGAACAATACCTTTCAAAAGTTCAAAAGTCTATTTCAAAATCAAATCAAATTTATCTACAATCCCACTTCTGCACCACTGTGAAGTTTATATAGTTCTAATTATATTGTCTTTATTCTAATTTATTGTCTATATTCTAATTTATTAAAACTCACGATATACTAATTACGAATTTATTAAAGTCTTTATTAATTCTAATTTATATTACAAATAATAATTTATGTTTCGTTACATTTATAATATCGCGGTTGCCGAGCTTCTTATCACATGACTGCTGCCAAATAAAAATCTTTCATTTATATACACAACTGTGTCATCTAGAGAATTCGGCGGACTTCCTTGATATAGTCTCGTATTTTGGGTGAAGGCGCTCGACCTCGTTTTTCAACCTCGAGACGTGGATGACTCACTAAAAATTAGTGTCTAGAGATTTCTGGTAAACAACTGGTAGCTAAGCTCAGGTATATTTTGACCTACAAATTACGAGAATCAATAAAAAAGAATTAGTCCATAAAAAAATTATACAGTTTCTATAATGCCCATATAACAGTTAAAATCGTAAGACAATAAATCACTAACTGAATATTTTGGCCATGTTGTGAGTCATCCAGAGGGCACAGAATAATAAACAAATAGAATGCCCACTCTTAGATGCCGCCTTTAAAGTTTTTCAGCACGCGATCGTTATGTTTTAGAAGGAAACACAGAACACACCGGATTAGAATCACATTAGTGAAATGGATTTTTAATCGACATAATGATTTGTGAGGTTATGTACTTATTTATATTTATGTTTAATTATATTATATTATAATCATTATTTATATTTATGGTATTATATTTAAGATGTTAAAATACATGCATAGTAATGTCTATGAATTACTAGTAATTCAATTAAACCAATAGAAGCCTCTAACTTTATCTGAAATAACCGATGGGTAAACAAAATATACAGAGGTGTCAAAAATAATAATATCGACATGAAAACCTAAAGGTAGAACACCAAACCTATAATTCTTCAGCTTCTCCTACCTAGGTTTAATATAAATTGAAAACAACTTTAGTTATATTTGGAAGTGAAACATGGACTCTCTTAAGCACTGATAGAAGCATTTAAGAATGCAATATATTAAAAAATATTTGGGGGAATCTATTGTAATGACGGTATCTAGAGAATTAAATTGAAACAAGAGCTCGACGGACTTCTAACTACTGCATAGCGCAGACATCGTTAGATTTGTGAAGTCGCAAATGCTAAACTGACTTTGCCATGTTTGGCTAGTTTTGTTAAACTTGTTCACTGACGAATAACAATGTTGATTTCTTTTCTTTGTGATAAAAGTAATTGTTCTTAGAATCGTAATCGTTACTTTTTTTTTCAGAAAAATTCTTCGACATGAATAAAAAACAGTGCCGAGAAGCTTTAGATATTTATAAGAGATTTTTAGTTAGAATGGATAGGGTAGCAGAATTTTTAAAAGTCGCAGAGGTATGTATGATTTTAAAATTAATTATAGCAATTTAAACTAATGTGTACACAGTAATCTAATGAAGGACCAGTTCAATTTGATAATAATTTAACTACTTTTGATATTTTTTAGAATGTAGGAATTGATAAAGGCGACATACCGGATTTAACAAAAGCGCCAAGTAGTTTACTAGATGCTTTGGAACAACATTTAAATTATATGGAAGGCAAAAAACCGACAGGCTCTAATCAATCAAGGTAAACTATACTTTTTTAATAATATTAAATATGTACATATAAGTATAAAATATAAAATGGATTCGATTAAACTAGAATACGTTGGTGTTTCCTCGTTCATACTATTATATATTAATATCCACAAGGAAACTAAGTTCCTGTAGATGGCTGTATACCATGTATTACAAAAAATTTATTAAAAATTCCTTTATAAAATGTATATGTATATGAGTGATATACCTTTTATACAGGAATTTTTTAAAAATTTTTTTATTCGATGTTACTCATTCCATTGACTCCGGATATACATAGGGATAAATACTTACTTCAATTTTTAAAAGCAAGGCGTATAGGTACGGATTTCAACTTACTGAGCGTAAAAACCTCAGAGGTCGTTAGTTTGAATCTTGGTCTGGCCCTTTTGTAAGAGAGAAATAAGAAGTGGGTTTGGTACCACGCCTGCGTACCGAAGTCGTTCGGATATAATCTGCGATTATGTGTAAAGGCTCTGTTTAGACAATAGCATGATGATCATGAATACACATTTCCAAGCAATAAAAGGAATATAAATAAAAAGCACAGATGACAAAATAATGAAATACAAGGAAATAATGAAAAATGCATAAACTTAGGAAAGAAACAACGAAAATCAGATATAAGGGGGAGTTCGAGAAAGAAATGGACAAATAAGTAGAAATCACAGAAATAGTAGAAGAAGAATGGGGAAAATTTAGAAATGCTATACAGCAAAACTAATATGTGTTACCATAAGAAATAATAGGAAAGAGAAACGGATAGCAGGATGGAATAAAGAGGTAAAAATTAAAAGAAAATTGAGGAAAGAATACATACCAGACAATACGTAACAAAATATGAGAGATACAAAGTACAGAGAATAAAAGTTAGACATAGTCAAAAATGAGAATAAGAAAAGGCTGATAGAACACTGAAAAACCTACGAAGCAACAAAGAAGGGTATAATGAAAAGATGGAAACATTTCGAAACACGTTGATGGAGAGCAAGAAAAAGCAGAGGAAAACTAATAGGATTCCTTTTAGAATAATTCCTAAACAGAAGAAGAACTATAGGAAGCAATAGGAAATATAAAGGGGAACGCTCCTAGGATCGATGAAGTTAGTCTAGAAATGTTGAAATATATAGGAGAAAAAGCAAAGAAAAGATTATTATACATCTTAAATCTAATATGGAAGAAAAACAATTTTGCTTAAAGTATGGTTAAGAAGCAGTTGTTTTAAAACAGTGCACAAGAAGGAAAACACAAGAGATTGTTAAAACTGTAGAGGTATCCCTATTATTGTAGCAGCAAAGCTATATGAAACAATAATAGAATCAGGATAGAAATAGAACATAAACTAGAGACGTACAAAGCGGATTCAGAAAAGGATTTAAAACACATGACCATATATTTACTAAGCAAAAGGTAATAGAGAAAGCCTTAAACAGAAATAAAGAAGTTTTAATGGACATGTAAAAAACATTTCATTTAATCGAAAGGAATACTAAGTAAAATGTAAATGGCATGTCTTCGCAAAACAGAAAATTAAAAAATCGCAGCAACCGTATATACGTATTTCTGACTATTGGTCGTCGTCAGTACGGTGCAGCAAGTTAGAAAAGAAGCATGTCAACTTGGGAAAGATCACTAACACTAACCGCCACAAATTGGTCGCATTGCTCCTGTACTGACCTTTGCCAAATTGACATGTTCCTTTTCTAAACTTTGCTGCATCCCGTACTGAAGACGACCAATAGTCCAGAAATACGTTTTATACGTTTGCCTTCCATCGATATACCTTTTTTGGTCTTCTGTTTTGCGAGACATGCCATTACATTTTACGCTTAGTATTCACTCGCATTATTCTATGTAATAGATGAGATAGTGAAAGAATGTAAGAAAACCTTTAAAAAATTCTGTATAGTGTGGAAAGAAAGTGATAAATGCAGAGATATGCGTATTTGTAGATGACATAGTATTATTCGTCGAATCAGCAGGAAAACTGAAGTACAATTTAGAAAAATGAAACTGAAGATGCAAAAATAATACAACCTTCTGTAAATAAAGAGAAGGCACAAATAATGAAAATAACAAGGAAAAAACGCACTTAAGACCTAAATCAAGTGGTGACAGATAAAAAATAAAGCAACATACACAAATATCTGGGAACAGCAATAAATAACAGAGGAAGCATCAATGACCATATCAACATTAAGACCAGAGAGTACAGGAAAACTAGTCCATGCTCCAAATAGATGATTACTCAACAACAACGAGATATCAAAGAAAACGAAGATATATTCGACAATATATAGGCTAACGTTGATATACGGAGCAGAACACTGGATTTTAAACAGAATACACCAGATTATGATACAAGCAGTAGAGATGAAATACCTCAGAAGAACGATAGAGATAAGATGTACAGACAGACTCAGAAATGACAAAATAAGGAACAGACTAAAATTAAACCGTTACTTGACATAAAAAGCTAAAAAATAGCATGGTTCGGTCATATAACACAAATAGACAGTAAGAGGTAAGTGAAAAGAGTGTGGGAGGCTAAACTAAGCTAAATAGCTGACGATGAAGCTGACATGACAGACCTCGGAAATCACAATTGCCGACAGACAAGTAGTTTGTCCCTACTTGTATTAGATCATAGACATTTTATATATGTCTATGTAATAGATACAGCATATGAATACGAGAAATATACCATACAAGGAGTAAATGGGAATAGAATCGAAATAAGTGAAAATTTAAAATGAAGAATAAAAATTAAATAGAATATTTAGTTGATAGAAAGTTGAGCGCCAATTATTTGTGGAAGAAAAATAGTAAAAACAAACTCTTTGAAAGAAAGTAACAAACATGTGACGTTTATAACGTTAAGGACCTGTCCGGGCTTCACCAATAACGGTAATTGTGAGGAAGACATAAGAAGAAATCACTATGGGCAAAACTTGCGTCGCCAAATTACAGAGAGTATGGAAAGATTACTGAACTTCCAAAAACACTAAAATTATACTTGTCAACATATTCATACTTAACATTGTCACCTACGCTGCAGAGTTATGTACTCTTGGATGCGAATGCTAAGAATACAGTAGATCCACAAACGTACCTATGTCTCAATCCTCCATTGAGATCTCCCCTAGGCCTAGTTTTAGTATGAAAATTTTGGTGTTATGTTTATTTCATCATACCTGCATCTTACTTCTACAGCTCTAAAATCGCTTTAAAAATTATTTGCAAGCTGGAGCTCAAGACAGCAAGTGGAGTGTTGCAATTGTAGTTGATTCCCAGAATATATTAATTAGGCAGTATTTTAACATTAAATTTATTAACGTCATCAATTTGACTTATTTACCTGAACCAATTTTACGAAGACATAATAGAATATGTTATTTTTTTCAGTAATGCAAGTAACCAGAAAAACATAAAATCTGGGGTAACGGCTCTCTCGACAACCAGTAACGCTTTTGGAAATGTAGTGTCAAGTGCCAAATTCGATGCCAATGGAATAGATGAACAGATGAAACTACAAATTCTGGCTGAAGAAGAAGCTGCGATCAACCAATTTAAAGTAAGAACCATATTTTGAATGAAGCGGGAGAGAATCTGTTTACTAGAACTCTCTTTTTATATCTGTAAAAATTTGTAAAGATTATTTATTTGTTTGCAAAATTTTGTTCAGCCATTTCAGAAATTCATAAGAACAGTTAGTTTTTCGTGTTTTGTTCCTGAATTTGATGTGATTCTAGGAATTTTGTCAGAAATGTAAACTCCTTTGAGTTTAAAAAATATTTATGTGTAGCATTTTCATTTACATTCTTTATTTTGCTTTTTGGCTTTTAGCTAACAGGCCGCTTAAAAAATTGGCAATATCTTTTATCCTCTTGATGGATATAATGTAATTGCTTGACCTATTTCCTTAATCTCTGTAGTGCATGGGTTTTTGTCTACTTTTAAGTATCATATCGGCCATATATTGTAACGAATACATATATTTGCCTACCATAGGGTAAAATTATGGGGGTTGAAAATTGGGGACAGAAGTTACTGGGGGTGGAGATAGGGCAAGCAAAATAAAACGATACTTGTGCGGACGGCACTCAAGGCTTAATTGGATAGCTGGGGTCGTGGATAATGAATGGCGAGGGGTCGGATTGGGGCAACTTTAAAAATGGCATATAAAAACAACAAGAAAGACCTCTAGCTATTAAAAAAAAGGACGTTGCTTCGAAGAATCTCAATCTTGCTGGATGAAGGAAAAAAGGCTCTTCCCTCCTAAAAACGAAACACACAAGGGCTTAGGAGTCCTATCTGGTTCTATAAGATCAGTTTACAATAGGGAATTGCTACAAAACTTTCTATAAATTGTAGCGGAAATAGATTATTAAAATTTAAGAACTATCTTTTTAATTAAAAGAAACATCATAAAGTTAACCTCTTCTAAAAACAAAATAAACAATATCACAGAAAATTAAGGCTAGCTGTCATATGTCAACATTTAATTTGACGACAGAGAACAATTAAATTCGACAGAATAGCCACACCCTAAGATTTATTATATATGAATTATTACAATCCCTTTAAATTACGCAATTATGAAAGCAATTATTATTTTTAACTCAAAAGTTTAAACAAAAAAGTTACCTTGATTTCACAAAGAAAATGCACTAAAAACTTCTGAGGTTTTGAACTGGAACTACTAAAATTTCTGGGGGTAGAACTGGAGTTAAACCTCTCCTCGGCCACATGAACAAAAAGACTGCTTATATATGTCTGGAACGTTGATCAGTCGAGGACAAAACAATCTTCTTCCTTCTTCAAGTTCCACTCCTATCGGAGATTGGAAATCATTCTGGCAATTATAATTTTATTGGTTACTCGCCTGAATAGTTCAATTGAACTGCATCCAAACCACTCACGGAGATTGCGTAGCCACGAGATTTTACGTCTTCCTACGCTTCTTCTACCTTTGATTTTACCCTGCATTATATTCCTTAGTAGTTCGTACTTTTCACCTCTCATGATGTGCCCCAAGTATTCCAATTTCCTGATCTTTATGGAATTTAAAACTTCGCATTGTTTTCCTAGTTGTTCGAGAACTTGTTCTGTTGTGTTTTGCGATCCATCCATGATATTTTCAAATGCGTCGATAACACCACATTTCGAATGCTTCTAGGTTTTTAATGTTGGATTTTTTAAGTGTCCAAGCTTCAACTCCATACAAAAGGGTAGAGAAAAATATAACATCGAAGCATTCTTATCCGGAGCGATATATTGATATCGCGATTACAAAAAAGTTTTCTCATTCTATTAAAAGTTGACCGCGCAATTTCAATGCGGCATCTTATTTCTTTTGTCTGATCAGTATCTTCTGTGATCCATGCTCCAAGGTATTTGTACGAAGATATTTGTTCAATTTCTGTATTATCTAGTACTAGCTTAACTTTGATGTTTTGTGCTTTTGTAAATACCATGAAACTTGGTTTTCTTCAAATTGATTTTTAGTCCATAATCGTTGCAATATATATTTAGTTGTTCAGCAAGTGTGTTGCAGTTCTTCTAGTGTTCCTGCCAAAAGGACGGTGTCGTCAGCATATCTTATGTTATTAAGTGGCTCACCGTTTATTATAAGGCCCTCACTGATCTCGGCAAGCGCTAATTCTGAGATGGCTTCACTGTAAAAATTGAATAACAAGGGTGATAAAATACACCCTTGGCGGACCACACGGCGAATCTGGATATCCTTGGTCAGTTCGTTTCAACTTTCACTTTTGCTGTTGATTCTAATAGAGGTTACAGATGATTCTAATGTCTCTACTGTCTATGTTTTTATTTAATAAAATTTCTTTAAGTCGATTATGCTGCACTCTGTCAAATGCCTTCTCAAAATCAATGAAACAGGCATATACTTCCTGATTAATATCTAAGCATCTCTGCGAAAGAACACTTACTGCAAACAGTGCATCTCGTGTTCCCAGACCTTTCCTAAATCCCATTTGTGTATTACTTATGCCTTCATCTAATTTCTTATGTATTCTATTGTGAATTACTTTTAAAAACAATTTCAAGACATGACTCATTAAGGCTATGGTGCGATGTTCATTGCACTCCTTTGCATTGGCTTTTTTGGGAAGCAGTATGAATGTTGATTGGAGCCATCTTTAGGTATTATACCTGTTCTATATATGGATATTGAATAGATCCAAAAGAAGATCAATAGATTCAGTATTCACAATTTTAAGTAATTCGATAGGAACTTCATCAGGCCCGGGAGATTTACCATCTTTAGCTTGTTTCATTGCATATTCAATTTCTTCTCGTATAATGTCAGGCCAGTATCATCCTTAAATTCTTTTGGTGCTTCTGTTCTTTCTTTGTCTTCAAATAGTTGTGCTATATATTGTGTCCATCTCTGCATTTTTTGGTTTATATCTGTTATAAGTGCACCCCTTTCATCTCTTAGTTGCCTAGTTTGAAGTGTTTTTCTCATTCCTGTTAATTCTCTAATTCTTTTATGCATGTTAAAAAAGTCATATTTTTTCTCAATTTCTTCTAGTTCTTGGCACTGCTCATGTAACATCTTCTCCTTAGCTTCTTTATTCTCTTTTTTATAATCGATCAGTTTCATTATGTTTAATTGGATTTTTTTGTTTTGAATGATTTTCTTTCATTCATTAATAGTAGTATTTCTTCAGTCATCCAATGTTTTCAGTCATCCTGTTTTAATTATTGCTGCTTTTTATGTTTTCCCATTTCTGATCAATGTTATGGCTACTTTTATTCAGTTCTTGGGCATTACGTATATTTTCAGTAAGAGTTTTTTACAGTTTGTTCCTTTGTTTGTGGTTCCCTTAATCTCTTAATATCAATTCTACTTTGTGTGGGTTTTTTAAACCAGTTTTAATTTGGTTCGTAATGTGACTACTATGGGGTTATGGTCTGAACCGATGTCTGCTCCAGGGTAAGTTTTGGCAGACAGTATAGAATTACGAAATCTTTGTCTAATAAGGACAAAGTCAATTTGATTTCGGATTATTCTATTCGTTTGTATCACCGGGAGATTTCCATGTATACAACCTTCGTTATACAACCCAGGACAAACATAGTGAGGTCGAAACAAAATCAGCGGTTTCACAAATCTGGAACCATTCTCAGAACTCTGGTACACGACACAAATCTCTTAGATACTTAGCAAAATATGTAGTGATTACTCTTTTCTAAACTGACATATTCACAAAGAATAACTTTCACTACATTCAACAAATTTTTGTCCGTATTTCTCGACTCAATTGAGACCCGTACATCCCTCCGAATCAGCTAAATTCGTTAGATTTACGAATCGTGAAAAATAAGCTTGGAATATTTCAGCTTTTAAATTATTTCATAACGTAAACAGAGAAACGGAAATCATCTTGGACCAGGGACGTCTACAGAAAATTTTAAACTGAGAAATTTATTATGCTACAATATACTATACGAGGCCTATTCCAAAAGTGTCGTTAGTATTTTATTCTGGGCATCTATACCGTAGCATCCTTCGAAGCAGTCTTGAAATTGAAGTTTTTGCGATGGCCATCATAGTCATCGTCGCATACGTTTGAATTATTTTGAAGCAACAGTTTACAGCTTTACTAAAGGTCGATTCAGACACATCAGTCACGTCTCGTCACAGTGATCGCGCCGAACCGAACAATCCGTCATACAAAATATTCTTTAATACAAAATGTTGCCGGCTATCACACTCATCAGTTTGACAACAGTTTCCCAGCTGTCAGATAGTTGATATTTCTGTGACCAACAGGACCGGTTCGGCGCTAAGACTAGAGAATTTACTAACCGAAGAGTTTTCTTCTAATTACAAACACAATATTTTTAAACGTAAAATTCTTTATTGTATTTATACATTTCGGAACATATTCATTGTGCAAAACACCTTCAAAATCGAAGAAAAAAAGTGAAACAGTAGGCGGTACTGTAGACTATAGTGTATTTTGTATGTATGAGAGAGTAATAAAACAATAAATTATGTATGCAAATCCCTAAACTGTTGATACGGGTGACTCAATGAAAAACAGATATTTGTCAACAAGTTTACAGAAGTATATAGGAAAACAATTTTAAATTGAGTATGACCACCAGGTATAAAGGTTGGAGCAGAATAGAATACAATAGTTGTGAGGGTTACTAATCCCTAAATAAGGTTGCCAGTGTCGGAGTGATGGAGGTTAACAGGTACTAATGAATTTGCAAGAAATGTAAGATGTTTATTTTATTGGTTATATATAACCAATAAAAGTTTAATAAGTACCTACCTATTTGCAAAATAAAGTTTAATTCTTTAGATAAAATAAAACGTTTTATTTTATCTGAAATGAGTGCATTCCACGAAGTAAGGGTTTCAACAATCAAACATTTAATTCTTTAATTCCAGAATCTACGACAGTAATTGACTAGATAATTACCTTCTAAACTTATTCCACAGAAAATGTGATAGTGGGTTTTTCCATTTTGTAGGAAGGTCCAAGTGGCGTATTCAAAATTCTTAACAGTTCACTAAAAGTAGGTACTTCAGTTGCAAGGTGCAGTTTATTGTGTATACTAGTGTTATGGAAAATTTGGAAGTGCCGTGTAAACGCCGAAAAATTGGTCCTTTAACAGTTAATGAAAAAACATTAATATTTAATTGTTTTAAATCATTTACAGACAAACGTTTATGTGAAAGTGTTGATGAGACCGTTGAGTTAGTTAGCAGTACACTTGGTGTTGGGAAATCTACGATTTACAGAGTTATTAAAGAAGAGAAATGTGGTAGTTTTCAAATGCCACGTAATGCTCCAGGGAAACCAAAATTTCAAATAGAATATCATTTTAAAGAAGGACTTCGACGGAAAGTGCATGAATTCTTCTTTAGACAAGAATTTCCAACATTGGATAAAGTTCTTGTCTCAGTTCGAGATGATAAGGATTACCCAGAAATGAGTCGAAGTACGTTATGGAAACTTTTAAAAGAAATAGGCTTCCGCTGGAAAAAGAATCCCAGAAAGTCTATTTTATTAGAAAGAAGCGATATTGTCATATGGAGAAGACATTTTCTAAGAACCATAAAGGAAATGAGAAACCAAAAAAGAAAAATATTTTATCTTGATGAAACATGGATCAACGAGGGTCATACACCAAATAAATTTTGGCAGGATGAAACTGTTACAAGTCAAAGGCACGCTTTTGTAAATAACTTATCTACTGGTTTAAACCCACCATCAGGAAAGGGACGCAGGCTGATAATAGTACACATTGGCAGTTCAGACGGTTTTGTTGAAGGTGGTTTATTAACTTTTGAATCAACTCGTACCGGTGACTACCATGAAGACATGAACGCTGATGTCTTTCAAGAATGGTTCGAACAAATGATAGATCTTCTTCCTAAGAACTGTGTAATAGTAATGGATAATGCAAGTTATCACTCCAGACTTATAGAAGGACTGCCCACAACCAAGTGGTTAAAAAAAGACTTGCAGAATTGGCTGAGTTCAAAAAATATTACGTACCATCCCGGATCTATAAGAAAGGAACTTTATTCGTTGTGTGCCCTTCATAAAGAAAAATTTAAAAAATACGAAATTGATGAAATTGCCAAAAATCGTGGAATGACAGTACTTAGATCCCCACCATATCATTGTGAATTAAACCCGATTGAACTGGTATGGGCACAGATAAAGAGTGAAGTTTCAAGAAAAAATACCACTTTTAAAATTCATGATGTTAAACAGTTGTTTTTGGAGGCCGTAAATAATGTAAAACCTGAAAACTGGGAAAAGGCAGTAAATCACACTATTAAAGAAGAGGAAAAAATGTGGAAGCTGGACAATATTACTGATAAAATGATCGAGCCAGTTATTATAAATCTTGGTTCTGAAAGTTCATCTTCTGAATCTGATTTGGATTTGTAACAAGTAGCTGTAAGTTTTATATTAATATTTTTATTCATCTATTTAACATACCTTAGACGGTTTTAAAAACTCTTTTTCTCTTTTGTAATTTTTAAAAATTAAAAAAAATGTGAATTTTTTAAAACCCTTTTTAATGTAGGCCAGTCAGTTCTAATATAGTGTGTGATAAAAGAGGTCACTTTTGTTTACATACACATAACACTTTATAACACTGAAATAATTCATTTATTTTTTACAATTATTCAAAGTAATTTTTCAATTAATCTTGAGCACGCCCATGGAGTGGTCGGAGGTACCAGTTAAAATTATGTTAATTACTCTCTCGTTCATAAAAATAAACTATAATATATTTAAAATTAAATAAAGTAATTTTATTATTTATTTATTTTTATATTTTAAACAAGTTCAATAAATTATTATGTTTTCTCCTAACGCCACCATATTACAAATGGAATGGTACAAGATAGAGAACTTTTGACTACTATTAAAGGAGAAAAACGGTTTATTTGGGGCACATACTTAAAAAAGTAACGAGTTGTTGCAGCTGATTTTGAAGGGTAGAATCAAAGTAAAACGAGGTCCTAGTAGACGACAAATATCTTGGCTGAAAAACATTCGCGACCGGACTGGATTAAACACACAGAACCTTTTAAGCAGAAGATAGAGACGAATTTGCACTGTTTATGGCCAATCTTTATTAGTGGAGTAAGCACTCGAAGAAGGAGAGGAGGAGGTAGTTGTTTACTTTGATATAACATTTTAACTTTTAACAGGTTTTTTGGTTGCCTCTAGTTCTTCAATTTCTAGTTAGATTCATAATTTGATTGAAATCTAGACTTCCTTCAGAACAATAAGTTTACTTTCTTTTAATATGCAGTTGTACACTTAAGCATCATCTAACATGTCTGTCATCAATATTCAGTATCATCAATTTCTTTTCATCTTGTGTGGTACATTTATAGGTATAGTAATGGTTTGTCTAATATAATATACTAATATATATTGTTATAAACTGACATTCTTTGGAAGTTTCTTTTTCTATTTGAAAAGTTCAGTATTCTATATTTGTAAATTTTGAGAAACGAATGAGACGAAATTGATGTTTTCACGATATTTTCTTAGTAACTATGTAAACCTTAAAAGACAGCAAGATGATTGCACTCAAGAAAAATATATGAATTAAATAACAATATCGCATTACGCATTATTTTTGTTTTTAGTTTTAACCCCACCCTATTTTTTTTGTTACAGTCTAAGGTATCTTCACCAACAACCACCATCAACAATCCTTTCTTGAGCAACTCTCCGTCGTCAGCATCCAACAATACATCTTCATCTCAGTTCGTAAGTTCTCCGTCATTCGATCTATTTGCAGATGAGCAGACACCGCCTAACCTGAAAGCATCGGACGATCTGCTGCAACTGTCAAATCCGTTTTCAGACGCCTTCAGTCCTTCCAATACAAATGCCTTTGCACCTCAGATACCTCAGCAAAACAATATTTGGATGGCAAATGGAAATGGTATGTATGAGTATATTGTTAGTAGTATTTTTAATAAAAACGGGAATTATTGTTTTAGCTTTTAGTGTCTTGAGTCCAGGAAATACTTCGGGAATACCGAATGCTTCGTTGTTTGTGACTGAGAATAATTTTGCTTCTGTTTTTGGAGCTTCGGAATCAAAAGGTAAATAAATACATCTGTAATTTACACTAAACTAACAATTTTAAGTAAAAACTTTCTCAAATGTGATGCAAAAATGACAATAGATTATCTTAAAAAAGATTTTTAACGATATAATTAACAGGATAAAAATTAGAGGATTAATAAAATATATTATAACAAGTACAGCGCTGTTGAAAATAACAGAGATCATGTTACTACAGATCATCAGCGGCATCCCTAGTCGAGCCTTGACTTCCTCTAGTCTATTTCACAAGTTGTTCATGTTCTTTCACCTCACTCTTGGCTTGCATCTACTGAAATTAGCTGGTTAATTAATTAAAATGGGGAACAAATAACCAATGACAACGGAATGCGTCTTAGAGATGTTTGTGAAACAATGTCTCTCACAATTATGAATGGATTTTTTCAACATAGAGACATACACAAATTTACATGGATACAACCTACTAGGAATCTGCGCTCGATAATCGACTATGTAATCCAACGTCAAACTTCCCAACTGAAAACAACTGACGTAAGGGTATACCGTGGATCAGAATGTGGATCCGACCATCGTTTACTTATGGCCAATGTGATAGTTAACTATCGCAAAAACAATAATACTCAGGTTCAGAATATAGAAAAGGGTCAAGAAGTAATATCTCCTAAATATAACCTAGAAAACTTAAAAGAAGATTCAACGAAATTTCTTTACAAATTACGACTGGCCACAAAATTACAACATGTGGATCGAGAAAATATATCAGCGGAAGAATTATACCACCAACTTAAAAAATACATTCATTAGGCTGCAGCTGAAGCTTTGGGTTATAAAGACAAACATGAAAAAAAAATCAAGAATGGTGGTCGGAGAATATGCAAACTTTTAATCAATAAGAAGAAAACTACTTATCAGAAATGGATGTCAACGAGAAAGGATGAAGATTACAAGATATATCAAAAATTAGATGATCGAGATGTAAAAAGAGAAGTAGTAAAAAGTAAAAATGAGATGTGGGACCGAAGATGTGCAGAGCTGGATAGGTATATGGGTGGAACAAGAGTTGGGCAAGCTTGGATGGTGATCTCTCCGGAGGGAAGGAAAGGAAAAATTTAACTTACAGTTAATAGATCTGAAATAGTGGAAACACCATTATGAGGTCTTACTGATAAAGGATAGATATCCGAACACACACAAATAATTGAGATAACAACCGGAGAGTTTAACGATGCCCTCAAAAGATCGAAAAACGGTAAAGCGGCAGGACCTGGAGACATCCCAATTGAGTTGGTAAAGTATGGACCAAAAATATTACATGAGATGTTGGTTCAACTATTTAACAAATGCTTAAAAGGACAAAATATCCCTGGTGATTGGAATATTGGATACATCAGCTCAATATTCAAGAAAGGGGATAAACGCAAATGCTCTAATTATAGGGGAATAACTGTTATCAGCTCAGTGGAGAGGTTGTACGGTCGAATAATAAAAAAAAGAATAGAATCAGAATACGAAGACATAGAAGAACAAAATGGATTTTGTGCAGGAAGATCGTGCACTGATGGTATATTGAAATTCTTGCAATGGGATGTTAGTGTACTCTTTTATGTCATTCCACTTCTTTTTAATGATGTCAGTGGCAAGTTTTATTGGGATGTTAGTATATAGTGAAATAACATTTCAATCATCTGTAGAGTTTATGTTAAACTCAACATACTTTTTATATATGGACGAAATATACCAACAGATGGATGTGCAATGGGTGCAAGTATTTCTAGTGTCATTGCCCAACTTGTTCTGGAAGACTTAGAAGAATCTAATGTACCATTCTTCTACCGCTATATCGATGACTGTATCTGTACTATTTCAACAAATAAAACAACCGAAATTTTAGATATTTTCAACAGTTACCATCCAAAATTAAATTTCACCATAGAAATTGAACAAAATTATAAAATAAATTTTCTGGATATCACCTTACATCGCATTAACAATACAGTTAAAACCATGTGGTTTACAAAAGCAATATGGTTTTCAGGATATCTCAACTACACTTCCCATTATCCATTTTCACATAAGAAGTCTGTGATTATTAGTCTCGCTGATAATCTATACAACTAACCGATCCAGAATACGACCAACTGCAATAAAAAAGTAAAAAAATGCCCTTAATCCATATCCCGAACATCTAATCGGAACTATTTTCAAATCAAGACTAAATAAATTTTATAACAATACAACTAACAATAAACCCAACAGTATCAAAATTACTTACACAACTCTTCCATATATAAAAGGTTTATCCGAACAACTAACAAATCTTTTGGCCAAACATAATATAACAGTGGCCACAAAGGCAACAACCTCTTAAATAAATATTTCACAAAACTAAAAACAAAAACTCCAAAACTTAAAAGATCACATGTTGTTTACGAGATACCATGTATTAACTGTGAAGGTGTCTATATCGGTCAAACCAGTCAACTGCTTCAATCCAGAATTCGTTCTCACAAATATGATAAGAACAACGTCACTGCGCTCACAAAACATGAAAGTGAGAAGAAGCATAAATTTGATTTTGAAAACATCAAACTTTTAAAAAACAGAACAAAACAAAAAGAAGAGGGAGATATACGAATCAATAGAAAATAAAAGGAAATACCAACGTAATAAATGACAAAAAACATATACAAAACCTACATAAAATATATTTCAATCTGATTTAAATAATAATAATATAACATCATAAAAAGCTCTTAAAGTCACAACATATCTCCACTTTACCTTTTTCGAAAACATCAATGATACGCCCATATAAAAATAATTATATACTAATGACAGTAAACCACAGTAAACATGAGATATCAGATATCGACTTTTATTTGTCAGTTCGATAATGTCTGTGTCACGTTTTACGGTTTGGTAAGTCATATATATATATATATATATATATATATATATATATATATATATATATATATATAATATATAATATATATAAATTTTACAATATCTGTTTGTCCTTATACATATATACATTTTAGAATCTTGACAAAGGCAAGGGTTTCCTGCCGAAACGTTGATTGCTATGGAAAATATAGTTCCACATATAATATATCTTTATTGAACCTAAACCCAAGAAACACTAATTTTATATTAAATATAATACGGTTCAAGAAACTCACAACTACATATATATATATATATATATATATATATATATATATATATATATATATAATATATATATATATATATATATATTATATATATATATATATATAAATAACTTGTGGCAAATGTCATTTAAGTAAAACATGTAAGCCGAACAAACCATGCTATAATCAAGGATGACAATTAAAAACAATGGTACACTGGTTACAAGCAGTCCCAAATAGAGAAAACGGAAAATGGTAGAGAACGCCTATTACTCGATTTTGTGAGTGATGATTAACCTCATATCATATCATACCATATCATTCGTCTCGAGCTTTTCAAGATAATTTATTATCCTTACTTTGATCATTATACGTTGATCCTTGATCTTTGACCTGTTTTATGATTTTATTTCCATACTTTGAACTAAATTTAAACATAAAATTGTAAATAGACTAAGGTTAATGATCACATCACCTAAACTATTAACTCAATCCTCCCAGTAACTTTTGTGTGTCCAAATGGAGTAGGTTTGAATTCAATAAGAGTGATAATTGTGTTGCTACATAAGATTAGACCGCCGGCTTTCGAAACGAAATTTAACCACTGTTTTATCCCTTATGATTTTTTGTGCACTGAAAATATCATATGAGATAAGCAAAAAGAAAAGGAAAGTTAGAATTGAAACGGATTCATTTTCCGTTTACACGACCTGCCATTATGCCTTTTTTTCAGGTTGCTTATCGTGAAAACTAACAAATTATTAAGTGGTATGAAGGATAAAATTACGGACACTGACCTATTAACATTACATGTTTAAGTCATAATTAACATCTTTAGTGCATCAGTAGCCCTTATCCCAAAATTGTTATCAATCAATACTACTCTATCGATTCGTACAATGATATAAGGGAGAACATCTTCGCAGCATATTAGATTTTATTTACAGAACAAAATTCAATTTCCACGCAGATTTCCATATGAAACCCGACAGTTTTCACATGTTTTACTTTCCTTGATTTCATCTTTCAGTACTCCCAAAGGCATAAGAGATGTAATCGTGGCTGAACTTCCATTGAAATCCGACGGTCTAGGTAGAGATACATAATATATATTTTTTCATATTTTTTTACCATATACACTCTTAATGTATGGTTTGTTTTATTAGGGACCAACTTTGATGCCTTAGGAGGGGTTCTTCAACCGTCAAATATTGACGGTAAACAAGTAAATAACACTGCAAGTATAATTGAAAACAACAACCAGCCATCTTCTTCGAACGGTCTACTTACGGGTGATTTGGAATCGAGCCTAGCATCTTTAGCGGAAAATCTTTCTATTAATAGTAGAACAGCTCCAAAGTAAGTGAGGTTTTTTCATTCAATATTAAAATTAAAATACTTAAAATATATACACACAACAGACGAATCTGAATTCATCTGCTAGTCTCCTAATAAATAAATTTAATACTATTTAATACCTAAACACCTAAAAATTGTTTTTGATATTTAAGGTTTGCAGGAAAAGTGATAATGATCTTTATCTAGCCTGTTGTTAAATACAGGCCAGTAAATTTATTCAACCTCTTCTGATCTGCTTAGATACAGTTTAGAAAGGGGCGAACATGACTCTTATTATGTAACTCTTGGTTTTATATCCGAAAGTTGTTAGAGAAACAACTTTTGGCTTTAAAAACACCATTTTTTTGAATAATCTTTTTTGAAAATTATTTCGGGAGTGGAGATCTTAATTCAAACAGCAGTTAAAAATGTAATTTTTATTGCAATCAAATGTGCCAATACATATAATATTTTTCTTTCAAAAATAAAAAATAAATAAAAGATAAGGATAGTAAAATTAGAATCTATAAGACTTGCATACGACCGATCATGACATATGGCATAGAAGTGCGCGAAGATACCAACAAAACGAAACAGATGCTAAGGGTTGCCGAAATGAAAACCCTAAGAACAATAATGGGGAAAACAAGAAGAGACAGAGTGAGAAATACAAACATTAGAGAGCAGTGCAAAATTCAAGATATTGTAAGATGGGGAAGGCAGCGCAAGAGGATGTGGTACAACCATGTAAGACGAATGGATGAGAATAGACTCCCAAAAATTGCCCTAGAAAACAATCCGCCCGGTTCAAGACCCCCCGGAACACCACCTAAAAGAGGGATAGTTGGCAATCTACCTCCCAAGAAATTAACCAGAGGCAGCTTCAGAATTAAATAGATCGAAAGATCTACAAAAAGTAGAAGAACAAGAATAAAAGATAAGGATATGAAGAGAATACGAGTCTTTTTATAACTTCGGCCATTAGTTATAGAGCCATTTACATATAATGTCAAGGTTAATCTGTAGTGTGTATCTTTTGAAATAATCTTTTTTGAAAACGATTTTCGGAGTGGAAATGGAAACGTCAGGCAGCAGTAAAAAATGTAATTTTCATTGCAATCAAATGTGACAATATAGAATTAATAATATAGAATTTTTCTTTCAAGAAAAAGAAAAGATATATGGATTTGAAGATAATAAGCGCCTTTTTATGACTTGAGCCATTAGTTATACAGCCATTCACATATAATGTAAAGGTTAATCTGTAGTGAGTGTTGAGCCTTGTTACTCAGTAAAGGAAGGTTCATTGTCTTTACAAATAATCGCTTATTATATACGAACGACTACACTGCCTTGGGTAATACCGATATGGCAATGACCGAGTTAATTCGGATAGTCTTTACACCAACTGAAGTATATATCTTTTGCACCAATAATAGAAAGAAAACATATTTTTGGAAAAAAATCAGCTTTAGATTGGCAAACACAAAAAGTTGGCAACACTACACAAAATGACGACTTAAAGAATGTACTGGGAAAGTTTGGCATAGGGCAGAGAAACGAAAGAGGAGACCGTTTAATCGAATTTGCTATCACAAACAACTACTTCATCATGAATACTCGATTTAAACACCATGTACGTCGACTTTATACCTGGAAAAGTCCTGGAGATAGATTTAGAAATCAAATAGATTACGTCCTCACCAATATTCGGTGGAGATCGTCCATTCAAACAGTCAGATCATATCCAGGGGCGATATGCGGATCCGATCATACTCTCCTCGTAGCTAAAGTAATGCTTAAACTTAAAGCACCCAACAAACAAAGAGAGATAAAGAGGACAGAACTAAGAAAGAAAGAAGACCTTCTACAGGAAGTACAGAAAAGTATGTCCTCTATTCGTAACGGAACATCACAAGAAATATGGGAGACTGTTAAACATTGCGTAACAACACCAATGGATCGCTCAAAGAAAAATAATCCGGTGAAACGGAAACACTGGATAACAGATGAAACTCTTAAAATAATTGAGAATAGAAGAAATTTTTGTAAAAGTGGTGTACATAGTGAAAGGGAAAAAGCTAGTTTAAGAAACCTCAATAAAGAAATAAAACGAAGATGTAAGGCCGACAAAAAACAGTACTATCAAAGTATATGCAAAGAAATTGAGAGACATGGTCAGAATAATCAGCCGAGAAATCTATTTAGAAAAATACGCTACCTGACAAGACTTAAGCCAAACTTGGGCCATTGAAGATAACACTGGAACCCTGAGAACAAACAGAGAAGACATAGCAGAGACATGGAGATCGTATTGCAGGGACCTATATAAAGATGATCAACGCCAAGAGCTTGTTAGCCAAATCTCTGACGAGGTGGAAGAAGAACCTGATATACTCGAAAATGAAGTAAGACAGGCTATCAACAAGCTCAAATATAACAAAGCACCAGGTCCAGATATGATAACAGCAGAAATGCTTAAAGCCACAGAAGAAACCGGCGTAAAGTTACTTCATCTACTCTGTAACCAAATATGGCATTCCAAACAATGGCCTGAAGACTGGACAAAATCTACAATAACGACCATACATAAAAAAGGCAGCTTCCATAAATGCGACAATTATAGAACTATCTCTCTTATATCCCATGCCAGCAAGATAATGCTACATATAATCAATGAGAGACTGAAAACATTCCTTCAAAGAGAAATTCCACAAGAGCAAACTGGATTTACCAAAGGTAGAGGCACTCGAGAACACCTGCTGAATATAAGACAGATAATCGAGAAATCTAGGGAATTCAACATCCCACTATACATCTGTTTTATAGATTACCGTAAAGCGTTCGACAGGGTCAAGTGGAGACACTTATGGCGAATACTAAAAGAAGTAGGCGTACCACAACATCTAATTACGCTTATAACCGAACTATATAAACACACTACTGGATCAGTTAAAGTACTTGACACACTTTCGAACGAATTTCATCCAGAACGGGGTGTCAGACAAGGATATATACTATCTCCACAATTATTCAACATATATGGGGAGTATATTATGCGAAGAGCACTTGAAGGATGGGAAAAGGGCATCTCAATAAATGGTCATAAACTAAACAACCTACGTTTCGCAGATGACACAGCCCTTCTTGCAAATAGTCAAGCAGAGCTGATAGAACTTATACGACTGATCGAAAACGAAAGTCAAATATTTGGTCTGCAATTAAACATATCAAAGACAAAGATCATGATAGTGGATAGACTACACAACAATCATCCACACATAACCACAATTGACCGGTTCGAGGTTGTGAGCTCATACTTATATCTGGGATCATTAATCACAAACACAGGGTCATTACAAGAAGAGATTAAACGTAGATGTGATCTAGCAAAAGTTGCCACAGCAAAAATGACCAAAATATGGAAGGACTGTCAAATTTCAAGAGCGATAAAGATGAGGTTGATCAACTGCTTAATATTCCCAATACTGACCTACGGATGTGAATCTTGGACTCTGAGACAATCGGAGAGAAGAAAGATAGACGCAACTGAAATGTTCTGTTGGAGACGAATGTTACGAATTCCTTGGACCGACCGCAGAACAAATAATTCAATTTTAAGAGAGCTAAAAGTTAGCCAACGACTCTCTAGTAAAGTCCATCTTCAACAATTAAAATATTTTGGGCATGTTATGAGAGCAAACACAGAAAACATGGAAAGACTCATAATACAAGGAAAGGTAGAAGGCCGAAGATCACGAGGAAGATCCCCAACAAGATGGATAGATCAAATTACCGGAATATGCCAAAGACCTATGCATGAATTAAAAGAAATGACCAGAGACAGAGATCTCTGGAGACGGACAATACACGACATCACGTCGACCACTACACTCCCCCTGGGGGGTCAGGATTGAAGAGAGAGATTCGTCTTTAAGATCACTACTATACTTAATTTTGCATTTGAACAAACCTAAACAGTCCTAAATCACTTTTTCAGACATTAAATTTTTGCTCCGACAGACTCATTTGGCAGCTTAAAACGTTTACCACACCGCGCGTCGTTTGTTTTTGAATCTCGGCTCGGTGCCAAATCAAAACTGTACGCATAATAGCCCGCCAGATCGATGTTTTCTTCTTGAAATACTTGGGTGTTATACGAGCCATGTGAGAGTTGAAATTGTCTGTTGATACAAGATGTGACGATTCTGGTTGTTTTTGCGGAGTTTATCAATTACTTATAGCAAACAAATGGTTATATACCATTGAGTATTGATGGTTCCGTCATTCCCATCTCCCTTTGCCATTTCGGGACCATTTATTTGCTAACGCTACCAGTGCGGACTCCCTTTCTTGGCTTTAGCTCGTCTTGAAACAACCATACTGTTAATTGGTTTTCGTTTCGAGCTTGTATCAATATATTCATGTTTTCACCAGTTACGATGTTCCATACCGAATTAGAAGCTTCCTCCTGAATCATTTAAATGTTGCACGGCACCAATGGACACGTGCCTTCTTGTTGGTAGCAGTCAAATTATGAGGAATCTAATGACTGCACATTTTTCTCACTGCCAAATGTCCATGGAAAAATTGTTTTCATATAGAATCATGTCTATGCCCAATGATGCCCGAATCTCCTAATAACTAATACGGTTTCCGGACAACAGCGGTGATCGGACGATCTTCACGGAGGTCACTGAGGTTGGTGGGTCCACGCTTGAATTCTTCAAACCAACTGTGAATAGTTGATCTTCGTACAAATCATCGTACGAACACTTTTAAGAGAGATTTTCATTTTTTTTTTCAACGGTAATGATTGTTTTGGGAATTTTTTGCTGCTAAACCACGCATTGCAGTCTAAATCTATCAAAGTTGTTTACCATAAAATAATCTAATTAATTATTATAGTTAACCCTAACACCACCTGTTCGCAGATCTACAAAAATATAATTTTTTCGCGCCAATATTTATTTTTAAAGATATCAATATCAATGCAATTTCATTTTACAAAACTCAAATGCCCATTTTTGCAGTAAGACTTTTTTCAGTTTTCATTTTGGGCCCCTCCTCACCCTATAGCAAATTTTATTAAGAATATTCTTTAATAAAGTCTTTAATGAATGGAGACCTAACTTAATTTAAATTTTTTATTGTAACTTTTTTAACCGTATGTCTATTATTTAGTTTTATGGAAATCGTAAATCAGTGTCAAATGTCGATAGCATGATATTGTTAGGCGATTCTTTCGACAAGTAGAAAACTTCACTTTACCACTTCTTACTAATGAAATTTCGACCAAAATTTCAAGCTTTTCATTCTCAGAATATTGATTAGAAAACAAAGCGAGAATGAAGTCGTGTGATCAGAATAATACGAGGTTTGAAAAGTCTCACGAATGAAAGTGAAAAAAGAAACAGAACTGTTGCGTTATTGTCGCATTGTTGTTTGTTATTTTCGTTTACTTTTCAAGTGTTCAATCCTTGAAATGTTTCGTGCTTAAAAAAATCCGAAGTATGCTCAGTCCGTTACCTAAATTTATTATTTTACATACATCTTTCTTACAAAAAAGAAGGTTATCAATTCACCTGTCGCTTGAAATGTTTTCAAGCGACTTCTTAAAAGAGATTCGTAAAAGATTAAGAATATTTTTTGGTTTTTACGATATACGCGGTGAAACGAAAATACTACAATAATATTGTTTGAAGCATGGAGGCAAAACGTATCTGTAATGAAACGAATTGAAGCATTGCAAATTTCTATACAAAAAAGAATGTTACAAAATTCCTTGGATGACTCATGTAACTAACAATGAAGTTACGCAGGGTAACTTTTTCATATGATAGAAGACCGTTAAGCCTTCGCCATGATGACAGACTACGTCGGATAGTTAACGCGCATGCTGTTCATATAATTTCAGCTTTCTAAACCGTCTATTTGAAATTTTATCAGTAATTATATACAGTTCTTCTCCATTCTTTGGAGAAGAACTAGAACTAAGAATTATATTAATAATATACTTTCATTATTTATGTTTATATTTTAGGGGTGTTCAGTGGAATTCTCCAGGATCCAAGACAGGTTCTAAAACAAGTTGGACACCACAACCTATTTCTGATACAACAGGGCGGGTTATAAACCAATGAACCAATCCATGTCCAACGCTACTTCGCCGTTTAGTAGTATAACAGTCACATCACCTCAGCCACAAATGTACCTACAACATCCACAGATGATGGTAAGTATATTTTAGTTTTTTTTATTTCTGTGTATTATGGCAGATATATTTGAAAGTATGGTTTAGAAGAGTGTAAACCGTTATTTTAACTAGTAAAGATTTGGACGAGTTACGGATAAGATTCTCATGGAATGTCTTAAGCGAACAGGACTCTACAAAATGATATTAACATACTGAGAAAACAGATAAGTAGAAAATGCTGTATACTGTTACCATTACCATTACCTATATACCCCAAAAATAGTTATTTACACACAAACATTTGAATAGTATATAGAGAGGATCGAGATTTGTGAATGTTTCTCAAAGATTATTAGAAACGGGTTCTGTTGTATCGAAAAATAGCGGAAGAACAAGACGACAATTAATCGTGAAATAATTAATGTAAAAAACTATCCAAATGTAAGTACACGAATGGTGGCTAAAATGGTAGGAATGACGAAAAACGTTGTTCATAGAACATTTCGGTAATAACTTCTACTTCTATACCACTATCAGAAAGTACAATATTTACACGAAGGTGATCTTCTTAGAAGATTAACATTTTGTAGGTGGTTTTAAGATAAACTCCTCAGAGAACCTAAATTTCTGTCAAAGTATGTTTCACGAGAAACAGTGTGGATAATTTTCGTAATTGCCATAATATAGGAATTATATATGGCAATTATGAAAATTATTATTATATATTGACATAACAAGAACTCTATTTAATACGTAAGTCAAATTTTCAACGAAAATTTAGCATAAATTTGTGGGCTGGAATAATTAACAATGGTTTATTACGTTCAAAATAACCACAAAGAGGAGAACAGTATTGGCTCAATAACTCATCACAAACGTTTCACAAGAGTTTTGCTGTATTGCAAAGAAGAGTTAGTTTGTATTTAGACTTAACTGGACAATATTGATCCATTTAAGTCTAAACAATTTAGTAGTATTTAACAATTTTTGTGGATTTATGTAAAGTTTAAATCTAATTCTGATTAACAAAATAATTTGTTTCTTGTTGCTGTACTAGTTTGAGGTCATAACGTATGTTTGTAATAACAATTTTTAGTGATAAAAAAATAATCTTTATTGTATGTAACTAAAATAATTATCATAATATGTGCATCTAAGGATGAAAAGTACAGCTAGCCATATTTTAAGATATACCAAATTTGCGTTAATTTTTTTTGCTATATCACACCAAAAAGAAAGGATTTCAAATCTGTTTAATTTTTACAGATAGTATATATTGTAAATACACACCAAACTTACATGGAATCACCATGTATTTCAGACCAATATTTCATACCAATAGAACTTCGTTCGAATTCAAATATCTTTCGCAATATTCATTTCTCTTAAAAAAACTGGTTATTGTTGCGAAGAATAAAGATGTTTATTGTAAATAAATAAACCGGAAAACAATCACACAGTTCGGTACGTTATAGATTATTTGCTTTAGTTGTGAATTGAACGAAAATAAATAAACTAACTTTTGCGTTCAAAAACGAAAATATAGGGGTTAACGGATGTGCAAACAGGAAAGATTATTGGTCTTGTGGAGCAAGGTATGTCTCAGGGATGTACCAGTAATCTATGCTAGGTATCAGGAATTAGGAACGCATAAGAATAGACCAAGTCAAAGTCGCCAAAAACTAACAAAGGCTCGCCACGATCTTTTCATTGCCCATGTAGCTAGAAGAGACCGAACAATTTCTCACTCGAAGCTCAAAAGTCAGCTTTTGGAAGCTGCAGGTGTAAATGTTCCAGTTGAAACGATAAAAGAGATACTTCTTGCCAAAAGATTGTACAGCAGGAGACAGTTACAGGTTCCCGAGTTATTCAGGCAGCACAAGATTGATCGCCTAAATTGCTGTCTTCAACACCAAAACTGTTCATTGAAAATTGATAAAATATGTTCTTTTAAGACGATACCAGGATCTATCTTAAATCAGATGACCGACGAATTCGTGCCCTTAGAGGGCGAGAAACACACTGCCAGCAAGAGAAAAACAGAAACTGACAGATCTTTTCACATATTTAAAGGAGGAAGTGGTACGTTCGGAGGAGGCATTATTATCGGCAAAAAAACTTATTTCCATCTAACCAACTTTAACAACCCGTAGGTATGTTGGTTTGGTTCTAGAAACTGTAATTAGGCTCTGAAGAAGTGCAATAGGAGGCAATTTCATTTTCATGAATGATAATGCACCTCCACATACCAGCAGGGTAACTAGACTTCCTTACAGCAGAAAGCTGTAACTGTTCTCTAGTGACCTGCTTGTTCACCCGACCTTAACCCTATATAGTTTTTGTGGGATATTCTTAAAAGAAGAATTAAAGCTCGCCGGGACAATCCACAAAACACCGCACAGCTAGTACAAGCTGCTTTTGAAGAATGGAACAAACTACCACAACAAAATGTGAACAATTTGATTAAGAGTATTCCCACGCGAATTGAATCTTACGTAAGGGCTGCTAAGTTGGTTTGTTTTTAAATTCGCATTAAATAATAAGAAATGTCATATGCTTCCATATAAGTTTGTTTGTACATATGTTATGGACCATATGATTAATTGGTCATTTTTCATAATGCCCGGGCTATATAAAAAATGCCCAATACTGTCGGTCAATATAATAAATACTATTAAATTCATCACATTGCCCGGGCATTATGTATAATGCTTGGCATCTACTAGACAGGATGATTAAAACTACTTTTATTTTTATTAAATATGAAATATATTTATTTTGATACAATCAAGTATGTAGTAAAAACTAAAATATTTCTTATATACCAATGAAAGTAGTCTTGCAGTCTTCTGTGAATGGCACATGAGTACATTTAATGAATAAGTATACATAAAAAATATAATACGTGTTAACAGTAATTGAGGAAACCAAAAAAAGAATTCTGTGTTTTTATTTGCATTTTTTTCTAATGACCGAAATCGATGGTAACACACAAAGCGGTCAGTGAGAGATTAAATCGTTTTTCTTCTAAATCAAACTCAATTTTCAATAAAAATACACTTACCACCTTTGCGTGCTACATCATCGTATATAACAGTACTAACATTCAACTGCAATATGATTTATAAATAATGGCCGACGCGCTTCGGTGACTGTAACCTTGGATACAGCGCGTTGATTCGCTGCTGAAGATCGCATGATTTACTAAGAACGCCGATTTATCACATTGCCCGGCCATAGTATAGCATTTTTCATAATGACCAGACAATATGATAAATTGTAAAAAGTTATCAAATTGCCCGCTGAAGTTAGTCATTATTAATAATGACCGGGCATTATACATAATGACTAACATAATCACTTTGTCCATAACATATATATAAAAGAAGCATTCAAAAATTCAATTCTATGCAATGATACTATCGATACGTTTTGTCGAAACGAATATTTGTAATAATTATAGGTACATCCCCTTTAAAAGATAGATTCTAAAATATAATCAATTAACATATTTAGAATTTCATATTTTGCCTACTTTACAGATTCAATATAACAGTAACAAGTTAAACACATTTATATCTCAGGAAAAGACCCAATTGTTGGTTATAGTTAAGAGCCCCACAGTTGTAAACTAATAATTAACAAACACATAAGTAATAACAGAAGTCATGAATTTTAACTATCTCTGAATAGATGTATCGTATGATAGGTATATAGAGGGAGTTAAAAAACAATTAAACAAGGCAGCCAGAATATCGGGATACTTCAGGGATATCATATGAAGGAACAAATATACTAGTCTAGACAGTATAAAGCAAGAAGACGGGCTAGCACCGACACTGTTCAACCAGTCTCTCAAATATGTGAGAATTATTTATACGTCCATGGAGAATACAGTTAAATATAGGAAGAGCTAATCTCCTAACAGACGAGAGGGCAGAGGAACCACTAACAATTCTTGAAGTTAAAGATGCAGTTAAAAAACTGACCAGAAACAAATCACCCGGAATAGATAATCTCCCAGCTGAACTATATAAAGAAACTGACCATGATACCATAATGGAATTACAGCAGCTTATTAAAAATATGAACACAGAAATTCTTCCCCAATGATGGGAATATTGGAATACTTTGCACCATACACAAAAAAGAGAAATGCAGTGTATAAAATATTTTCCACAGTACTATGTTACCGTATGGCACCATATGCAGAATGGATAGTAGGAAAATACCTTGAATATGGCATTGATGCTCATCACATATTTATAGACTACAAAGTAGCCTACGACTCTGTGAATAGAAGAGAAATGTTCAAAGCAATGAAAGAGCTAGGAATACCAAATCAATTGGTAAATTTAACAAAACTAACTCTTGAAAAAGTTGAATGTAGAGTACGAATTAAGGGAGAACTGTCTGAACCTTTTAAAACAAATAACGGACTGCTCCAGGGAGACACAAATCACGACCACTGGTTCAATATATAATAAACCAGTGTAAATCCTGGCCTATGCTGATGATATCAATATTGTTGGGAGAACGGAAAACGCTGAACGAGATGCATATGTAGCATTAAAAGAGTCAGCTACGAAAGTGGGTTTAATATTAAACACCAACAAAACGAAGTATATGAAAATAAGTACGCAACAACAAATCCTACGATCACTTCTTAAAGAAAACGACGTCATCGAAGCAGTGAACGAATTTGTATACCTGGGAGCGCTCTCTAACTCTGAAAATAATACTACCGTAGAGATAAACCGCAGAATATGCACGGCTAACAGATGCTATTTTAGGCTCCATCTCCTCCTTAAATCCACAATTATATCGAGAAATACAAAAATAAAACTTACAAAACAATAATACGTCTAATCCTTACATATGGTTCAGAGACCTGGATTCTAACAAAAAATAATGAAAACATGTTAGGATGTTTCGATAGAAAAGTGCCTAGGCAAATCTATGGAGCAGTGAATGACAATGAAGTGTGTAGAAGACGATACAACTTCGAACTTTGTAGAATATACCAGGAACCTGATATC